ACTCCCAGAATTCCCGCTGGGGAATTCTGGGAGTTGAAGTCCTCCAGGCTTAAAGTTGCCAAGGTTGGACACCCCTGGTTTAGATGAAGCTGCCGTCAAATACTTTCATGAAACCTGACAGTGTTTTCCCAAGAAACATTCTTTTCCTTTTCTAAAGTTTATACTTTCTCCTTCTCTTTCTTCTTGTCCTCATTGCTGGAACTGTCGATATAGATACAAGCCAGTTTGGTATTGTGGTTAAGGAACCAGGCTAGAAACCAAGAATCCACGAGTTCTGGTTCTGCTTTAGGCATGAAGCTCAGTTGAGTATCCTTGGGCCAGTCGTTCTCTCTCAGCCCTAGAAAACAGGGAGTGATAAACCACTTCCAAAAATATTGCCAAAATACTGCAGGAACTTGTCCAGGCAGTTGGTTAGGAGGCAATGCTGATTCAAACACACACACACACACACACACACACACACACACAAATGGGGAGTTGGGAGGGAGAGCGAGATACAGATATAGATATGTTAGTTTCTCTAGTTCTAATTAGTTTCTCCGCTTCTAGCAACCATCATTGCAATGATCCTGGACATTGCTGAATCTTTTTGTTGTGTTCCTCTCCATAACTCAGCGCAGATGCCTTCTTTTATTAGTAATGCCTTGCTAATCGTTTCAAATCATTTCTTTCCTTTATGGCAAGTATTCCTTATAATATTGTAAAGCAGACATATGGGGATGGGGAGGGAAGGAACGTTTTTTTAATTCAGATTATTGATGGATAATGGGAGGCAATTACGTGTGAAAGAAATTAGAAGCACGTGAAATTAGAAGGAAAACACTAGAAGCCAAAGAATATGAAATACAGTCATAAACATCTCCTGTTTGTATGCATTCTCTTAATACATTTTTTTCTGGTTTTAAGGTTTGTCTGTTTCAAAAGCTGAACTACTGAGCCAGTGGTAGGGCTTTAGCATGAACTTGGCCTCAGCTTTGATCCCCTCCTTCCCTGAGCCTTGTGTTGAATTTATGGGGACTCTTCTTTCTTCCTCCTCCTCCTCCTCCTCCTCCTCCTCCCCGCTTCCCCTTCATCTCTGCTTGCAAGACCTTGCCATGGCACTTGTTTGCTTTGTAACTGACTAATGGCTGCATGTGAAGTGGCTCCTTTTGGCCTGTTCCATTCAGCTCTCTTCAGCTTTGGTGGCTTGTTTTCTGTTACCTTTCAAGAACTACTGGGAGACAATAGTTTTGAGCCTTTCTCAACCTTGAACATTTTTAAGATGTGTGGATTGCAACTCCCAGAATTCTCCAGCCATTATGTCGGCTGGGGAACTCTGGGAATTGAAGTGCACACATCTTGAAGTTGTCAAGGTTAAGCAACACTGCTGGAAGGCACGTTCTTGAGTGCCTGGTGGTGCTGAATGAGGCCCTGGATATCTTCTCCTTTCCCCACAGTCAGCTTATCATTCCCCCCACCCACCACCCACCCACTTCTATTTATGACCCATTTCTTGGGAAGGAAAGGTTGCCCTTCTGCCTGAGTTATTCCAGACATTTAAATAATCTGACACTTTTTAATGAGTAAATCCTGCTTAACACTAAGTCAGACAGATGTTTACCTCCTGACAGAGCCTGTAGGGGGGGGAGGAAGTAGACCTTGTGGCAGTTCCCTCGGTGTCTGCTCGTGACAGGTACGAAATCCCCCCCTTTCAATCCCCAAGTTTCTTTGACTTTCTCTTGCATGAAGTTTATGCTGCTCTCTCTACAGTGCCCCCTGTTGGGAAAAACAGGCAGCAAGATATGCTGTCATCCCAAGGAGTCATGGGCTTCACAGCACCGCTATTCCATCTCATTTGATGTCAACGAAAGTGAAGGAAGGCCCCCCACATGTGCTGGCATTCCAGCAATGTCAGGGGAGGGTATCCATAAGTAAAGAATGCACCAAGACAGCAAACGCCAGCAAACGATGTTTCACATCTTCCTCTGGCCTCTTGTTTCTCCGTTCCCAGTTTTGCAAGCTGCTCTTTTTGGCCCCTGAAAAGAAGCATTTGATTGGAAAAACGTTCTCTGCTTTTTGCAAGCTTTCCTGTTACTTGATCACTGCCTTCCAGCTATTCTCCTTCCTTCTCTTTCAGCAGTTTTTTTTTTCTTCTTCTCTAGTTTGAGTCATTTATTAGGCTTGCTCATTAAAGGGCTCTGCTTTTGCTTTTCAGGCCGAGTGTATGAATTTTGTTAAGATCCTGCATCTCTACAATCGCACACACCTATACGCCTGTGGCACTGGGGCTTTTCACCCCATCTGTGGCTTTGTAGAAGTGGGGCAACGTGTGGAGGTGAGTGATGCCTAAAGGTTTATAAACGAAGGTTACAGAGACTAAAATCTAAGCAAGAGAATCACAGGAGCGCCAAGCTTCTCTTGATGGACATGTTGGCTCCTTTCTCTAGGACTCTGTCTTTAAGCTGGATTTCAAGAGCCTGGAGGATGGCAAAGGCAAAAGTCCCTATGACCCAAATCACACCGCGGCTTCAGTTCTTGCAGGTAACGGGAGAGGCCCCCAAACAGTGACCTAGCACCCAAATAAAGGCGAGACACGAAAACAAGACCCATGTAAGATGTCACGTGGGATCCTTTGAAAGCCTCATCTTTCCTCTGCCCTGGGAACAGATGAGATCAGCTGACACTCTGTGCCAAACATGCAGCTGCTGGGATGGTAGTTCATTCATCTTTGAGCAGTGCCCTCTCCCCAGTCACCGAGATCTTTCTCAGGGACCACACAAAGAAGATTTGGAACAGTCTCCGAGAGGTCAATGGAGATGAGGAAGCCAGAAAGCTTTTGAAACGTCTCTCCTTTTGTGCTGGGCAGGTGAAGAGCTTTATTCTGGTGTGGCTACTGATCTGATGGGCCGAGACTTCACCATCTTCCGCAGCCTGGGATCGAGGCCTTCCGTCCGCACCGAGCAGCATGATTCTCGGTGGCTCAACGGTCAGTGGAGGGTTTGTAAGAAGGGGACCTATCAGGTGGGAAGTGAGTCATACTTCCACTTCCACACTTTCCATACTTCCTCATAGTGTGGAAAGGGAGCAATTAGGTGTGGGGGGGGGGGTGGAGGGTGAAAGAAAGAATGCCCTTTAAAGTGCCAGGGAATCCAGAATTCATTATTACAACTCTTGGCAAATCAAGTTGCTCACTTGTTGTTTCATAATTTATGAGTGGAAGCTGCCACCTAGCGATCAGAGCTTGTCACGATTACAGCCTGAGATTTCAAAAGGATAAACTTGAAAGAGAAAGTGGAAGGAAAAGGCATTGGAATGCTCTGTAGGATGTGTGTTTTCGGTTTTGTTTCACTGAATTCATTAATCGGCAGTTCTACGTTGCTGTTTTCAAGTTTAGGGAAGTAGCAACCTGGATGATCACATTGGCTGGGAAACTGGGAATATAAATCCCAATACATCAAGGAAGAATTATTGGGGAAGGCTATCCTGTGATTTTCCTCTCTTCTAAATATCCTGGACCAACTAGTTGGCTTTCTTCTCACTTTTTTTTCAAGGACAACAGAGAACAACTGAATTTAATGATGAAATATCCTTAGAGGGAATATCCTTAGAGTTTGGACAAAAAAAGTCAAGAAGTTGGCTGTGACAGTGTCATCAAAATGTAGCCTATTTTTTATGTGCAGCACATAATAAACAGGTGGAACTTCAGCCACACTGCCATAGCCTCAATATTGACTCTTTATTTTTTTTAACCACACCTGTGGACTGTCCCAGAATCACAGCCTCGTGAGATTTTCTTACCTGTATGGGGAAGGCTTTTAGCCTTAAAATGAAGTTTGTGTACGAATGCCTCCAGGTTTAGTTCTCCATGTCTCAGGATCTAGCTGACTTTGGTTGGTCCTGAAAATGAAGGAGGGTCAGATCTGATTCATACCTGGATGGTGACTGTTAGGGGATCCCAGGCTCTAAAAAAAACCTCAACCAGAAAAAGGCGATTTCTATATTCTTGCAATAAAAACCACATGGGCACATCCATAAATTTAGCAGAAGTTGAGCTTAACCTGAAGGAGACATCATGTCTTCTGATCTTTGAGAAAGCTGATCTCCCATGTCATGCTTAACTTGTCCCTAAAGAACCTTTGGCACAGGTGGCAGAGGAAAATACCTCACTGCTAAGATTTCATCTTAAATAGAAGGAAAACCAGAATCTAGGAAGCAAGTTGTCCCTGCAACATTGCCTATTTCTTACCTTGTTTTGCTATCCCCTCTCCAAGGCAGCCATTTGAAAACTTAAAAATAATGGCCTATGTTACTTTGTCCTGCATTAACATTCTCTTCCATTTCTTTGACTCAAGAACCCAAGTTCGTTGATGTCTTCTGGATCCCAGAGAGTGAAAACCCTGATGATGATAAGATCTTCTTTTTCTTCCGGGAAACAGCAGTGGAAGGATCCCAAGGCCTGGGCAAACAGAGTTTTGCACGCATTGGGCAAATTTGCCGGGTAAGACTGTGTTCTGACTCAAGCCTCATTCAAATCAAATAAACACAAAGTATATATAAAGGCAAACCTTTTTTAATGCGTCTCTGTGAATTCTGTTCATTCACAGCAAAGAGTCATTAAAACTAATTGTCCCAGATAAGAGCAAGCCCTTTCAAAGTTGTGAAAGGCTGCCAAGAGCACAAGATTAATTGCAGGGAAATATCCAGAACCAAAAGTCTCTGAAAACAAACCAGAAGAGGACAGAAGGACTTCCACAAGAACTTGGAGTTGAAAGAACTTCTTTGCTTCCTGCAAAGAACCCAACCCCTGAGGGCTGGCTTTTATCCCTTATGGGAGGGGCCATCACCTCGCAGCTTTACTCCGAGTCGCCCGTGCTGCTGCACTGGGCACAGGCTCCTCGGGGTCCTCTGCATCACTGCTGACAGACTCCACATGCTCCGAAGGCAGCACTCCACTCTCCAATAGTCCTGGCCCCATCCCTGCATCATACACAGGCCCCTCATCTGAGTCCTCACTCTCAGAGACCTCAGCTGTCCGCATCTGCTGCCAGAAAACCACAACAGACTGTTGTATCGGCTCCAGTCCCAAGATGAGGATGGTCAGGAGGCTTGGCAGTTAGACAAGTCTGATGAAGATAGATGGCTAGGAGTTGGCCTTGGCTTTACTGAAAGGGTGAGGACCCCTGCCCTAGAGTGAATGTTTCTTAGACATTCTACAGCAACAACAGGCTGTTGAAGTATCCAAAAAGGATTCCAGCACAGCAATTCTTGAAAGCAGTAAAAACCAATTTCTCACCTGTGTTCATAGAACTTCTCAATCATCCAGGTCATGGTTGTCCCAAAAGGCCACTCGACTTTCCTGGTTGTTGTTTTTTCCTTAGAAAACATTTCGCTTCTCATCCAAGAAGCTTCTGAAGAACTGAAGAAGTTTCTTGGATGAAAAGTGAACCATTCTCTAAGAAAAACAATAAGGTCCAGTTGCCTTTTGGATAAAGGCAGGGGTGGGCTGCCCCTAACTAAGATTCTGTGCAGTTCAGACAACCACCAAATCCCACTCCTGGCTGGCCCCACCCACCCCTCCCCTCCCCGGAGTCCCCACGTGGCCCATTTTGGATGCAGGGAAGTGCAGGGCACGTGGGAGGCTCAGGGAGGGCAAAAAACAAGCCTCCTGGAAGTTTGGGAAGGCCAGAAATGGGCCCATTTTCAGCTTCCAGAGAGCCTCCGGAACCCGGGGAAGCTATTTTCACCCTCCCGGAAGCTTGAGGAAAGCCTCCAGAGCCTGGGAGGGCAAAAACGCCCCCCACACTGTGGTGCAGGAGGCCAACTAGGACATGCCCACCATGGCCATGCCCACCCAGCAACTGGGCAGAGAACTCTTTGCTAAAAATTTTGAAGCCCCAAAGGAACCTTCGGGACAACCTCTCACCCCCGTTTTTAGGTATGCATTAAGTTCTGTGTCCAACGGAGCCCATTTGCATTTAAAATTCTGAGCTCTTTGACGATCCCTGTATCAGTTGGCCTCTGTGTGCCTCATTCTCTGTGCTCTCCAACTAGCTTTTTTGATAGGTCTCTTTTTCTCCCTTTAGAATGATATGGGTGGGCAGAGAAGCCTGGTGAACAAATGGACCACATTCCTGAAGGCTCGGCTGGTGTGTGCAGTACCCTGCATCGATGGGAGTGACACCCATTTTGACCATCTTCGTAAGTGATCGTCTGTGGTGGAAGGTTGGAATGGTTTAGGATCTTCCAAGGAGCAAGATGAACAGGAATGGAGGCTTGCTTTATCTCTTCCTTGATGAATGTTTTGATGCCTGGGTTGAAAGAAAGTCATTCTCTCCTTTGGACAGAAGTGATTTGTCAGATGCCAAGCTGCAAGCTGATGATTTCTTTCCTTCTTGTTGAACCCAGGTGATGTCTTCTTGTTGCCAACCAGGGATAAGCGTAACCCATTGTTGTATGCAGTTTTCACCACTTCCAGGTAAAAAGAAAACAGTTTTTGTTACATCAGCAGTGGGCAGAGTTCAGGCTTCTAGTATCTACTTTGCTTTTTCACACGACCCTCAATCCGTCAACCAAAGACATAATATAATATAATAAATATGACATAACATAACATAACAATCCATGCAGAGAGTAGTAAGGACAGACTTATATTGCTTATAAGCACTATATGCTTTGAGCTCAAAGCATTGTTAGAAACCCCACATTATCCACTTTATGGTCTGTTTCTGTTGTTTCCTTCTGGGAGGAGGTGTTGTAATATTTCTAGCAGGACTACCAGGTTCTGTAACAGCTTTGTTTCCTATGCCATCTGTCTGGGAAACTCATAAGATTCGTGTTTCTCACCATGTACATGTATACATCCGGGCTAGATTGTGTTGTTTCTCTGTGTCAAAATGGGTATATGCATAATTCTCTATTTATTTATTTATTTATTTGTTTATTCATTTATTTATTTTGTCATGTTTATGTAGTGTATATTGGAGAGCGCAACCTTTTGAAAGCTGTATGCAACCAAATTTCATTTTAATGTATGCTGATTAGTGTACATTTAAAGTGACAATAAAATGAAAGTTATTCTGCTATGACATGACACGGCATAATAATATAATATAATTATAATATAATATTTATAATCTTCCATTGCTTTTTAACATTTCTTCTCCACCCATCCACCCCCAACAATATTTTTAAACAGGCAAATATGCTCCCCCAGTGCCTTTTGAGCAAAAATTAGACAGGTTCTACCATCCACATTACCAGATGGCAGTGGGATGTGCATTCCTTCCCAGTTTCATTTCTTTACCCTTCCTGTAATGTTTCTTTTTCTTCTGATTACAGCACAGTTTTCAAAGGTTCTGCTGTCTGCGTGTATCACATGAATGACATCCGCAGAGCTTTCCTTGGTCCTTTTGCTCACAAGGAGGGGTCTAACTATCAATGGGTTTCCTATCAAGGCCGTGTCCCTTATCCCCGCCCAGGAACGGTACGTACATTGGATTTGGAGATCTTGAAATATGAAAAAAAAAAAAAAAGAGTTTCTACCCATGAAAACTCTAGAGATTGAGATAATTATTCAGTGATAACTGACTCGCACCCAGGAAGGGAAGAGATCTGTACTTGCAGAGTTTTGCTTTTGTTCTAGGTCTAGGAGATTCTTGAGGTTTGGCAGACAATGAAGAAAGATCAGAAGGGAGGGACAGCAACTGAGCTGCATGGAATGGAAAATTATTCTGTGATTTTATTGAAATGGAAAGAAAGCAAAAGACAGAATGAAAGCCAAGTGGGGGGAATGGAGGGCTGTTGTAGGAGGCATTTATGAGTAGACCATTTTTCAATGTTTGGGACATTGCCTCTCTTTACTTTCCTTCTCTATGAACTTCTAGTGTCCCAGCAAAACCTTTGGCACCTTTAGTTCCACCAAGGATTACCCTGATGATGTGATCCAATTTGCTCGTAACCACCCATTAATGTATAATCCAGTACTGCCCCATGGCCAAAGGCCTGTCTTCCTGCAAACCAATACGGACCACATCTTCACTCGCATTGCAGTAGACCGAGTGGCAGCTGCCGATGGACATTACGATGTCCTCTTCATTGGCACAGGTATGTCTGCTTCCCTCCTCTTCTGATGAGTAAACATTGATGTTCAGGCCAAGTTTCTGTTGGCTCCCCCAAAACTGCATGCTAGGGGATGTCCCTTGTTCAAAGGTAAAGTGCTTGAGTCCTTCTTCAGAGTTGGCTCATAGCTTTGAAGAAGCCTATTGATTGTGGCAGAACCAAATATAGAGCAGAGATGCATAGGCAAACACAAGTTGCCTCTCAATTGTAATTTTAATGTAATGCCAGAAGAAAGAAGTCCTTAAATTCATGCAGATAATACCTATTAGTTGTTTTAATGAATTGAATGTTGTTTAAACAAAAGCATTTATTGTGTTGTTTTTTTTCCTCCTCATCTGCTTCACTTTTTTGGGTCTTCCCACTTTGAAACACAGCTCCTAGCACCCTGCCCAAAGGCCATTTTAAGCATGATTTCACTCTCTCTTCAGCCACTACCTGCAGTTCCTTCTTTTAATGCTATATATTTGCATATGTATAATACATTACTTTGAAAACATATATGACCAAAGCAGCCATAAACACAACCAGCACAACCATGACCCCAGGAAACATACTTTTACTTGGGATTCAGACACAGGCAATCATCCCATTATTCTGGTATAAATGAAGCGTAAAATGATGTTTGGCCTCCATGGTATATTAAGGATTGGAACCAAATCCTTACTAACTCGGAACTGTATGAACTCAAGTTCTAGCCATGTAGATGGCAAGATACTGGAAAAGGTTATTGGAGATGAAAACTATAGCATAGGAAAAAAAACATATCTCATCCACATTGAAATCCTGATCAAACTGGACCCCTTAATAGTTGCAATAGCAGTTTTATTTGTAAATGCACCAGGAAATATGTTCCTGACTTCTTGCATTATAATCATTCATGCCCCAGGCTGATGGTCCAACTTCTCACTGGTTCTTTGATGTTGTGATATTAGTAAATCAATAGATATTGATGGAAATAGTAGCTAAGTACACTGCTCAAAAAAATAAAGGGAACACAAAAATAAGACATCCTAGATCTGAATGAATGAAATATTCTTATTAAATATTTTGTTCATTACATAGCTGAATGTGCTGACAACAAAATCACACAAAAATTATCAATGGAAATCAAAGTTAGCAATCCATGGAGGTCTGGATTTGGAGTTACACTCAAAATTAAAGTGAAAAAAAAACACTACAGGCTGACCCAACTTTGATGTAATGTCCTTCAAACAAGTCAAAATGAGGCTCAGTAGTGTGTGTGGCCTCCACGTTCCTGTATGACCTCCCTACAATGCCTGGGCATGCTCCTGATGAGGTGGCGGATGGTCTCCTAAGGGATCTCCTCCCACACCTGGACTAAAGCATCCTCCAGCTCCTGGACAGTCTGTGGTGCAACGTGGCATTGGTGGATGGAGCGAGACATGATGTCCCAGATGTGCTCAATTGGATTCAGGTCTGGGGAACAGGCAGGCCAGTCCATAGCATCAATGCCTTCGTCTTGCAGGAACTGCTGACACACTCCAGCCACATGAGGTCTAGCATTGTCTTGCATTAGGAGGAACCCAGGGCCAACCGCACCAGCATATGGTCTCACAAGGGGTCTGAGGATCTCATCTCAGTACCTAATGACAGTCAGGCTACCTCTAGCGAGCACATGGAGGGCTGTGCGGCCCCCTAAAGAAATGCCACCCCACACCATTACTGACCCACTGCCGAACCGGTCATGCTGGAGGATGTTTCAGGCAGCAGAACATTCTCCACGGCATCTCCAGACCCTGTTACGTCTGTCACATTTGCTCAATGTGAACCTGCTTTCATCTGTGAAGAGCACAGGGCACCAGTGGTGAATTTGCCAATCTTGGTGTTCTCTAGCAAATGCCAAACGTACTGCATGGTGTTGGGCTGTAAGCACAACCCCCACCTGTGGATGTCAGGCCCTCATACCCCCCTCATGGAGTCTGTTTCTGACCGTTTGAGCAGCCACATGCACATTTGTGGCCCGCTGGAGGTCATTTTGCAGGGTTCTGGCAGTGCTCCTCCTGTCCCTCCTTGCACAAAGGTGGAGGTAGCGGTCCTGATGCTGGGTTGTTGCCCTCCTACGGCCTCCTCCTCCTGATGTACTGGCCTGTCTCCTGGTAGCACCTCCATGCTCTGGACACTACGCTGACAGACACAGCAAACCTTCTTGCCACAGCTCGCATTGATGTGGCATCCTGGATGAGCTGCGTGGCCTGAGCCACTTGTGTGGGTTATAGACTCCGTCTCATGCTACCACTAGGGTGAAAGCACCGCCAGCATTCAAAAGTGACCAAACCATGAGCCAGAAAGCATAGGAACTGAGAAGTGGTCTGTGGTCACCACCTGCAGAACCACTCCTTTATTGGGGATGTCTTGCTAACTGCCTATGCTTTCCACCTGTTGTCTCTTCCATTTGCACAACAGCATGTGAAATTGATTGTCAGTCAGTGTTGCTACCTAAGTGGACAGTTTGATTTCACAGAAGTGTGATTGACTTGGAGTTAAATTGTGTTGTTTAAGTGTTCCCTTTATTTTTTTTGAGCAGTGTATATTAAAGTTGTTTTCCCAATCAGATGCGCTCCATTGATGCTGAACAACCACCCACATATTTGCGTTTTGTATGTAAATTGATTTGCATGGCTTGAAACTTCCAAGTCTTCTCTTTAGCTATGGAGGAAAAACAGTTTAGCCAACTCACCTGCATATACGGTAATCTCTTTTCTGTGCAAAATGGTTATGCTTTCCCTTTGCTTGACAGACATTGGCACAGTCTTGAAGGTTGTCACTGTGCCAAAGGACTCATGGCAAAATAGGGAAGAATTGCTGCTGGAGGAACTTCAGGTATTCAAGGTGAGTTTGGACAACTGAAGTCAGCTAGTTTGACCTAAGGCAAGAATAGCTACTTTCTAAAACAATATTGAATTGTAACAATATTGAATTGTAGACTTTATTCAAATAATTCAATTACCATAGATGCTTCTCCCATGGTTGATGGAATTAATTCAGCTGCTTATTTTCTCTGATAAGCTAAACTATTATTAGTTAGTTTGTAGTTCAGAGGATGATATCAGAAGGATACTTGATTGGACTAATGAAAATTATTAATATGTTGAGAGAACACCAAAAATGTTGATCCAATCATTTAATCTCCTAGAGCAGGAGTGTCAAACTCACAGCCCATGGGCCGGATGTATCTCCTACTAGCCCTGCCCCTGCCTGGTTTAGTGAAGGGGGAAAAAGTCCCGATACGGCATGTGATGCCGCCGTGATGACACGAGTTTGACACCCCTGTCCTAGAGTTTAAATTTAACTTCAATCTCAATTATTAAACCTAAGTTGGCTGAGCCATAGGAATACCATTTACCCTTACTAGGACTTTCCTGATGCAAGGCCTCATTGGTTATTGAGCACTTCCTAGAGCAAAGGAGTCAGGACTCTGCATTTCCCAGGATGACTTTGGTTAAAGTAATCTGAATGTGCAGTGTATTGGGTTTGAAAGTTGCTTTAGAATGTGCTGCCTGCCTATCTGCCTATCTCTGTCTGTAGCAATAGGAATAGCATTTAGACTTATATATAGCTTCAAAGTGCTTTACAACCCTCTCTAACTGGATTATAGAGGTAGCATATTACCCCCAACAATCTGGGTCTTCATTTTATTGACCTCAGAAGGATGGAAGGCTGAGTCCACCTTCAGCCTGGTGAAATTCGATCTGCCAAATTGCAGGCAGCTGGCAGTCAGCAGAAGTAGCCTGCAGTACCTGCACTCTAACCACCACCGCAGCTGTACCTCTGCCTCTGCCTCTGTCTCCATCTCTCCCTATCTAGCTGCTAGGAGTCTAAACACTGGATGGCGCATAATGCCTGACACAGAGTGCCTCATACTCATATTAGCATCTAGTTGCAATTCCTTCAACCAAAAAGTTATTTTCCCAGGATCAGGCTGCAACAGTAGAGAGCAGCCAAACCATCCTGGCAAAAGTAATGATGAATGTTATTTTCAAATTCTTGTGACCGCAGAATATTTTACCTCTGCAATTCAAAACACTGCACAACCCTACCAGTTGATGTGACCATGTGTTACCACCAGAACCGCAAGTATCGAGATTGGGATGACTGGGTTAAGTCAGGCACTGTCCTAGCCATCTTAGGTGCTTCTACTTTTCCAGCTTCAGGCTGAGATAGTGCAAGGCTCCACCAGAGAAACTAAGGCTGTGTCACCCTTTCAACATAGACCAGACAAAGAAACCAAAGTCAACATACAGAAGAATACTCCTTTTAGTATAAGATTGCAGTAACATATTCTTGCAAGTCTGGATGTGCTTACCTCTTCCCTCCATTTAATTTCCTAAGAAGTAGGAAGAGTCCTGTCTAGACACTTTCTCAATTCTCAGTCTGCCCTGGACTCAGATTTCTTTTATCTGCTGACTGTTGTCTTGTTTGCTTGTAACTACAACCCTGTTGTTCCTCAACGTTACTCCTCCTACCCCTTACTAGCAGTTACCTGAAAGGTAGTAGCTTTTTAAATTAGCAGTTCAGCACCCTCATAATTATTTCCATTTCTCCTTGACAGGATTCCTCTCCTATTACCAGCATGCAGATCTCATCCAAGCGGGTATGTAGCGCAACAGGGGGGAAAATTTTGGGGAAGCGATCTTATGCAAACCAGGAGGCAAACTTCTGCATTGAGTGCATTGATTCATAAATAATTAAAGTAAATAATTACAGGTGGGGAGAGAAACTGGTAGTGGAAGATGATCAAAATAGGGATGATTATATGTATGCATTTCTTCTTTCCAGGAGATTTTTTGATGATGATGATGATGATGATGATGATGATGATGATGATTCTTATTATTATTATTATTATTATTATTATTATTATTATTATTATTATT